TTTATGTATAACTATATTAGCAGAAGAAATATGTTTGATACCAATAAATCTTTCAATAATTTGTCCTTGTTTATCCATATATCTCATAGCCACTGCTAATCGCTCTTTTGTTGACACATCATGAGTCTCATCTACAAGAATAGCATAGTAAGAATTGTCAATGCCATTCATGATGAAAACCAATATTTTAGCAACGGTTGCACAACAAATTTCTATATGAACTTTTGGTGAAATCAATTTTAATTTTGCACTAGCATTTTTAAAAATAACATTCTTGAATTCTTCATTGTGATTGAAAAGAAAATGCAATAACTCTATATAATTACTTTTATTATCTGAATCAAATGCCTCATCATGGCAATGAAATAACAATCTTGCCGTAGAATAAATCTAACACTATCAACAGTTGCAAACAATAGGTTATGATATTCTTTCTTATTCATATCATTCTTATTGCGCCATATAGTAGGAATATTTTGTAATTTAAGATTTATTAAATCTTCACATTTTTGTCGAACTCTGTCATTCTTATTTACATCATAACTCTAGATTGTAGGTTGAAGCTCATAGTGTTATTCCCAATTCTTACAAGCAGAACATTTATTTGCTATTTCTTACAACTACTGTATCATATACATGAATAGTTTAATTAATATAATCTCCGGAACAATGTTTAAAATTGCGTATTCGGGTATTGAGGCGTTTTTCATTCGTGAGGCGAGGCGTAAGCCTCAAGGCGTTTTGAGGCCTCAACCAAGTTGAGGCGCAAGCCTCATAAAAAAAACTCGAAGCGTAAGCATCGAGGCGTTTTTTACTGAAATTGCGCAAAGGCTGGCCTCAAGGCGAGCCTCATATTGCGCAATTTTAAACCATGCTCCTGAATTCTAAACACAGTCAACATTAAACAGGTTAAACTAATATAAGTAGTGCTAAAAAATTATAGACAGAACCAGCAACGACAAAATTGAGAAATACTGAAAACATTAAAAGAATGTGGGATACAACCTACAACATTTTGAAGGCATCAATAACAAAGGAAAACAACATCAGACTGCATTATACCATGCATGACAATAGTCTCCACATCTATCAATGATAAGGACCTCTTAATTGAGCTTGATAGAAGAAATGGTAAACAATGGAGAAAAAATTTCATAATAGAGAGAGAGATGAAACATTCCCATTAACTTCGTTCAGGCTGTAGTAGGGGCAAAAATGAAAGAGTAGCAATTGAAATGGGGATGAATAGGGTTGCTAAACCTCGATTTTGCATTTTAAGAAAACTATAAAAAATTTTGATTTTTGTAAGAAAAGATAAAAAAATTTATGATATTCCTATGAAAATGCAAAACCTCTTTCTTTTTCTCTTTCAATTTTTGTAGTTCACATCCCTCCTATGGAATCACAAGGATGAAATATAATTAAAATAATCTTTTCTATTGTGCAATGCTATTCACTCTAGTGCTATTTATAGCACTGAACTTCAAACAATAGAGTAGACAAAAAATTGGAAAATCCTTTGCTTAGCTGCAACGTTCTAATCCCATTTAATCTCCTAATTTTTACGGTGTGTTTTTTATGTGAATAATATTTTTTTAACGAGAGATTAGAGTGAAAATATTTGTAAATTATTTGATGTATTGTCCTATTTTTCATTAAAATATTATGTAATTTATTTTGCTATTTCTTAATATTAGTAGTTTATAATCATGAATATTTTTTATTATTGTAAATGTTTCATGTTAATGAATTATACCACTATAAATATTAATTTGTTACACAATTTTCTCCTTCATAATTATTTAGATTGTTAATATGTGAAGCACAATTTTGTCCTTTATAATTATTTATTTACTTTTATGAATAAATGCATAATAATTTTTTTTAAGGTAATGAATAATAAGATGATGATTTTTTTATCTTTCAAATTTTAAATATAGATAATGTGAAGGATTTGGAATATGATGTACCTATTTAAATGAAGGTTAAAATTTCCTCCTTATGAATTCGATAAAAAAAATCTAGAAATATAACATTTCTCTCATAGAAGTGGCTCAGTCAACCAGATTTATGTCTACTCTCCGAAGTCCTCTCTTCGGGAATTCCATTAAGAAATTCCTGTTCTCAGCAGGGCGAAGAAGCCCCTCTCCTTTATAGCGAAACAAATAACTCCCTTTACACCAATTATATCCCAAGACCCAGCATGGTGGAGATGCTCAAATCCCTAGCCTCCCAGCTAGATCGAAAGTCTCGCACACTAAGACTCTTTAAAGCTCTTTCACCAAAGTGCTCTCACACACAATAACCTTTGGGCACTTATCTCACATAACGATCTCTTGAGCACCCTTCCAAGAAATTTCTTACATTCTCTCCAATCATCTCACCATCTCCCTAAACTATTGTATGAAGCTCTCAAGAACTTTCTCCAAGTATATATGGAAAACTCTCTCTGTGTCACTCTCTGACTCTCTCAGAGACTCTCTTATACGTGCTCTATTTT